GCTGTTACGTCGACATGAGGAACCTCCGAAGAAAGAAATGACCAAGGACTGGACTTTGTGGAGGGGACGACCCCCTCCAAAACGGAAAAAGAGACTTCAAGCAGAGGAGGAACCGGTAAAATAGAAGAACCGGCCTCCCCATTGAGAGTGAATGTGCGACAGAATGAAAGTGATGGATGAATGGGACGCGACTGGATCTTCTGCCGGGCTGAAAGGAAACCACCCGAGACGAGTTGATCTTAAGAAGGGAGCCGTTGTAACAGCCGGAGACCAGATGCTGCAAGAACAGCTATGGGACGGAAAAGGAACGGGGGTGCACCGTTAGGCTATTCGGGACGAACAGCCTTAAGGAGGGAGCAGTGTAACATGTTGCGCGACAATATTTACTAGAATTATGAACCTGCGTAGTTAATTATCCATTAATAATTGACCTGCATTTTGAAATAAGAAAGAATTAGAAAGAATGAGGTAAATTTCACAAAGTTTATAAAAATATGACTGCCTCTGTGGTCTAATGGTCAGAGTTCCTGGCTACATATCCAGAGGTCCCGGGTTCGATACCCAGAGGTACCTGATTTCCTGAGAAGTAGTGGATCTCAACGGGGTTCACTCAGCCTCGTGAGGATAATTGATGAGATATATCCAGTGGTCCCTATCCTGAGCCAGATCAATCCAATCAATACCATCCCATCCTATCTCTCTAAGATCCATTTTAATATTATCCACTCGCCTACGCCTTCGTTTTTCCATAAGTCTCTTTCCTTCTGGCCTTCCCATCAATATCCTACCGGCTACTTTTTCTCCCCATTCGTGCTCCATGCCCTTCCCACCTCATCCTCTTTGACTTGATCATTCTAATTATACTTGGAGAAGAGTACAAGTTATGAAGCTCCTCATTATGCAGTTTTCTCCAACCTCCCGTCACTTAATCTCTCTTCGGTCCAAATATTCTCCTCAACACCCTCAGTGTATGTTCCTCCCTTAATATCAGAGACCAAGTTCCACACACATGCAGAACCACAGACAAAATTAGTATGCATTCATACAGAATAAATTATAAATGATAGTAAGACTAAAGAAATTACTATTTTGTTGCTCTCTTATATAATTATAATGTGAAACTTTTGCAATAAAATGCTCTTAAAATCAGACGCATTTTGGAAATTGTTCTATTAGCTTCATTAGCCTGAAGCGTGCTACTATAAAGACAAGATTTAATAGTTCAGACCCCTATCGGCTGCCATAATTCTAATATTGTCTTTCTAATCGCTTGCCTGACCTGTATGATCTACCGCAATATTAAAAAAATAATTTTTGCTCATTCTTCTTTTCTGTGCATAAGATTAATTTTATGTGGTTTCCGTTTGTTGCATTATCCGCAAACATAACACTAAACACTGATTGTACTTAGGTTTGCAGCAGAATCGTCACGTATCTCCTTTAATACTGACATTCACGATGTGTCATATTAATTTATAACATTAAAACCAATGAGCCTGATATATGTGTATAGGCTAGTTCACGTCAAGTAACAGTTAATTTGTTAAGAAAATCACGTGTTCGTCAAGATGCACAAACACAATTATTCATTCAGATAATGTGACTTAGAGGAATCATTATTCAAATAAAATTAATTTAATTTGAATATTTTGTGTGCAGTACACAAGTAAAATTTTAAAAATGCTGTCAGTTGAAGATTGGAGTTAGGTTCAGTTCCTTTGTGTCACATGTCAAGTAAGTTGCCTGAAATGTAGAAATAAATGCAAAGTCTATGTACTAAGAATGGAACAAGTGGTAGCGTAGTTAATTGAAGCACTGTGCTACAAGCCAGAAGTTTGCGGGTTCGATTCCCAATGAGGTTATTGAAATTTTCATTTAATCTATTCCTTCCAGTCGCTCTATTGGCTCTGGGGTCGACTACGCCTCTAACAGTGGGTCGCGCCATAGCTCAAGCGGTTAGTCTCTGGCTTTCCACCCCGGCGGCCCGGGTTCGATCCAGGGTCTGATCAAGTGGGATTTGTGGTGGACAAAATGGCGTTGGGGTAGGTTTTCTCCGAGTCCTTCGTTTTTCCCTGCCAATCTTCATTCCACCAATTGCTCCACAATCACCCTCACCTATCATCTGGGGCTGGTACAATAGGCCAGAAGTGGCCGCAGTACAAGGGACTTAGTCCCACCCCACGAGCAAAAAAAGAAAAATCCTCTAACATAAACGAGTACCAGGAATCTTCCTGAGGGGTAATTTGGCGGCCGGCGCGTAAGGCTGACAACCTCACCGCCATCTGTGAACCGATTTTCTAGAAAATGTGGGAACCTCGATGTCTCACACACCTATGGGCCTCCACGGACTGTTACAGGGATAGCTTTACCTTTTTATATATATTATGAATAGAACTTACAAAATATATGATAGATAAAATGTGAACGTTATTCGGGATTTCGATAATGTAAGTTTTATCTCCTTCCAAAATAATATCAGAATTTGAGCATAATTGGATCCTGATAATTAGATACTTTATCTGCACAAGCTTCATCTTTCACGATAAATGATACAAACTCCGTCCCAAGTGCAAACATATAATATATATTGTTTGCACTTAGGACGGAGTTTGTATCATTTATCGTGTAGAGTGCAACAGAATGCTTAAATATAATAAAATATAATATTCATCTTTCAGCCAAGAACATCAGAATTTGGTGTTACAAACAGATCTTGAACAAAGATATCTCAGTAAGTTTGGTGCTTATCGGTTCCTCATTGGCTAGGGATTTGGTCACATATTTCTGTGTTGTGGCAGTGTAGCATGGAGAATGCGTTATCCACTTCCCCCGCAGGTTCTGAACCGGAAGGAGAGCTACCCAGAAACTTCAGCTTCCAAAGCACGTGTCATCTGGCCCTGGATCTGTGCAACAGCAACTACAGCTGCAAGGTAGCCCTACAGGCCGTGCTCCGCTACTGCGACGCGAGCCGCTGCAATCGGGAGTCCTGCATGGACGCGCTGCAGAACTTTTATAGAACCTCGGAACTTAGGTGGAGCCTCGAAATCGCATTCTGCCTCTGCAAGTAAGTACAAACATTCCTCTACGTAAGAAATAGGTTCGTAACTTAAAATTATTGTTATATAATGACGCTTCTTAATACTTTCAGTTTATGAGTGTTTGGGGTATTCATTTATTCATCAATGGCTCTACAGCCCTTTGTTCTTCAGTTTCTTAATCATAATATACTTGAAAGGATTCTGACGACGGTATATGCCGTACAGAACTGTTAGGCTTATTTTGGACTCTATCCATCATCTGGTATATATAAAACATAAAACTTAACGTTTCGGAGACTGGATCTGTCTCCGTCCTCAGGTGGACTGAACCTAGTGATTGAGACTAGCTCTTTCTAACGGGCCCAACTGAGTAGGTCTATCCTGCCTCATCCACCTGAGGCAGTCGAGTCAACGAAACGTTGTGGTTTTTCTTCTTATATATACCAGACAACGTATAAAGTCAAAAATAAGCCTTATAGTTCTGCTCTTAATCATTGTTACAAAGTTTATATGACTCCCTGGACGGGGGATCAGCCCGTCGCCAGGCCGTTACCTACACGTATATACACGTGACAATACAAACAGAATAAACGCGCACACAGACATCTACGCCCTGAGTGGGATTGCAACCCACGACCCCAGTGTTCGAGCGAAGAGATGTCATGCCTTAGACCGCATGGCCACTGTGATAGGAGTTTTGGGAAATTAGGAAGTTTAATTATTGCTGAAATACCAAAGTAGCTGAGGTAAATCACGTTCGAAACGTGTAAGATTTGAAGTTTTCACGGCGGTGACTATGAAGAAAGTAGTCTTCTGGTATGTGGCGCCGTGTAGAAATTGTGTTACCGACATTTCGGAGGAACGTATCGCCTCCATTTTCAGGGTAGAACAAGAAATAAAAGAAGAAAATCCGCTAGCGAAGAACCAGCGTGAGCAGTTGCGAATATACTAATGTCTAATATCACATTAATCTATTTGCGCCTGCTCACGCTGGTTCTTCGCAAGCAGATTTTTCTTCTTTTTCCTTCCACCCTGAAGATGGAAGCGATACGTTCCTCCTAAATGTCGGTTAACACAATATCTAAAAGGCGCCACATCCCAGAAGACTGCTTTCTTCATGTTCGAAACCGTTGGTCCTCAAAAGCTGTAATCCCGAAACATATGCAGCATGAAATCCACGTATCATTTGTTCCGTGCCTGGTATGTGCGTGCGGCTAGTAATACCTCCCCTCACATATTTTCGTAGAAACTTATAGCCCCTGTTACTGATAGAGTAATATTAATTCCTGTTTGAAAATGTTCGTTGCCTCATAATAATTCCATATGAATATCAGTCAAGTATTCCAACCTTAATTTACTAAAACGCTAGCTCTCGGAGCATGAACACCGCTGTTCTATTCTATTCATGACTTTAAAGCCCTTTTGTTTGAACCTTGGCAGCTTTTCCAGTTTCTTGACCTTTTACGTAGTCGGTAGGACTCCTTGAACGAGTGCTCTGTCCATCGCAAGGCCACTTCCTGTACACAGAACAACACAAACACAGAATAAACGCACACAGACATTCGTGTCTCAAGAGGGATTCGAACACACGATCCAAATATTTGAGAGGACGAAGAAGGCCGATTGCGTAGACCTTGTGGCCAGTGTGATCGGCTGCTGTTCCACATATCAGTAATAAGACTGAATTTTTGAAGATATCTAACCTCAAAACTGCTCTTAACTTTGGCATTTTCCGCCCTTTCTAGGAACGAAGCTTAATTCAAACATTTGTAGTTCTCGCTTTTTCTCGTTGATTGCGATGTTAAAATTGCTGTCATTAGGCTGTCTCCAGTCAAGCCGAATGCTCGTTAATGTTTACATTTTAAGCGCATCCTTTGAACTCTGATTATTGTCACGTGGTAAGTGCCCAAGGACAAGCTCGCTATTTGCTTTTGTCACTTTCCAGTGATCTGTAACACTCAGGTAAGGAATTTATTTATCTTGGCTAGTTCCGCCAATTTAGCCACATAACAGTGTTGTCAGTTTTGCTATAGTAATCGCTATGGAAACTGATGACAATGTACGAATTGTCGCCGTTAATGAGTAACGGCTAACGACTGAAAACGTATCAGCGATAAATTGCTATAAGCTGGCGAAGGATTTGAGTACTCGAAATTGTTATCGCAAATTTATGACGTAATGAATGTACAAATGCACGAGAGAACAACCAAATTATGTACTTCACTACGGAATTCAACCAACACGCCTTGAGGCCGGCCCATAGCTCAAGCGGTTAGTCGCTGGCTTCCCACCGCGGCGGCCCGTGTTCGATCCCGGGTCTGGTCAAGTTGGATTTGTGGCGGACAAAGTGGCGCTGAGGCAGGTTTTCTCCGAGTACTTCGGTTTCCCCTGCCAATCTTCATTCCACCAATTGCTCTACAATCACCCTCACCTATCATCTGGGGCTGGTACAATAGGCCAGAAGTGGCCGCAGTACTAGAGACTTAGTCCCACCCCACTAGCAATAAAAAAAATGCACGGCCTTTAAAAATATATCTTCCTACTTTATGCGGGACACTGGCAAATCTGACCAACATTTTCCTTGATATTCCTCGGCCATTCCAGGAAATCACAAGGATATTACCTCAAAACGGTCACTTCCTGCCACATCGCTTTCAATTTATTACTCGTTGAATTCATATTGTCAACGACGATACCAAGTAGAAAACATTGGTTGTCTTTAGGTCACCGAAGTTAAGCAACATTGGGCGTGGTTAGTACTTTGATGGGTGACCGCTTGCGAACACCACTTGCTGTTTGGTTTTATTTGGAGACAGGCGATAACGTAGTTCTATTTTATTACTAGTGGTGTGGGACTAAGTCCCTTGTACTGCGGCCACTTCTGGCCTATTTTACCAGCACCAGATGATAGGTGACGGTGATTATGGAGCAATTGGTGGAATGAAGATTGGCAGGGGAAACCGAAGTACTCGGAGTAAACCTGCCCCAGCGCCACTTTGTCCACCACAAATCCCACTTGATCAGACTCGGGATCGAACCCGGGCCGCCGCGGTAGGAAGCCAGCGACTAACCGCTTGAGCTATGGCGCAGTCTTAGCGTAGTTGGTTGAGGCACTATACTACAAGCAAGAATGTCGCAGGTTCGAGTACCGATGAGGTGGATATTTTCAATTGACCTAATCCTTCCAGTTGCTCTATGATCCTGTGTTCGACTCAACGTCTAACAGAAATGTGTACCAGGAATATTCCTGGGGGGTGAAAGGCGGCAGGCGCGTGAGGCTGACAAACTCACTGCCATCTGTACCGATTGTCTAAAGAAAATGTAGAGGCTTCGACGTCTCACAACCCTATGATCCTCCACACCCTTGTACGTTGATATTTTTAACTTCTCATCTTATTGTTTGATCCTATATAATGTAAGATACCGACAGTGACTTTAAATAAACAGTGAATAAAGAATTACACAAAGACACCTTTCATCTGACGTCCCGCATAGCGTGACCCTGTCTGTTACTCCATCCCCTGGTTGGACATTAATGACACAGGCATTGCGTCATGGCGGTTCATTGAGCTCGGTATGAAAAATATGTCATTACTCGTACATGACAACTACACCTCGGAAATTTCTAGACCTTGCGGGTATATGAGGTTCGAATGACCCTTGTGCACTCGGCATATTCAGGAAGCTCTGCACGTATATTTACACGCAGACCTTATTCTTCAGATTACCGCTCTCGATCCTGTTACGGTCATTTCCGTTTCTAGTGACAGAGAGAATATTGAAATAGAGCTGAGATAAAGTTATCTTAAACCTGTTTGCACAAAGCGTATTGTGGGGCTATGGTAACATTGCCTGTATGCCTGATTACATCCATTCGTCTTACAATATTGTAACGTACAANTTTGTACTAATGTACCATCGACATAAACCTTTATATCTTATTTTTGGAGTTTTTTTCGAAATTTATAAATCCCATTCTATGTAATATATCGCTTAAACACGTGATGCGCACAGAACATAATAATTCTGTCGTGTTTACCAAAGGAACAGTTGCGTTGCTAAGGCCGAGAACAAAGAACCGAAGTCCTATGACTCTAAAATAGAGTCGGCCCCCCCAATTCCACTCTCTAGCAGTTCGCCGAGTTGTTGATTCGTGTGTCTGTTTCACCTGCTTCCTACAGGAGACCGGCACAGTTCCAACAAGTCCATCTCTGGAACTGGGCTCCGGGGAGCCATACAGAGCTTCAGACCGACTACCAATTAAAGGTGCAGCTTCCCCTTCGCCCAGCATATAAATCTCTTCACACTTTTTTCCTACTCAGGAAACGTCCGTTTCGTTTCGACATGGTTGTGGGTCCGATCCTCTTTCAGCAGAAGGGCGTCTGCCTCATAAAACTCAATAATCTGATCCAATGCAATCAACACCCTCTCCCCCAAACCTCAAGGTACTTTTTGCCAGTCAAATACTTGAATGCGATATGAATGAGATTTACGAATTACACTGTAAATCCGATTTATAATAACATCACAAAAGAATTTGAACAGTTTTACGTTTCAGGCAGGTTTCCTTCTCACAGGATACTTACTGCAGTTTTGCAGCGCATATCCCATGGATTTAAATGCGAAATGGTTGCTCCATATGTGGCTCTGTCAGTACAAACCAACTAACTTCATGGAATTGAGCCCTTCTTTAGAAGCCGTCAATTGTGCAGCTACTCAAGAATTCCCTAGCATTTCATGGGAACCGAAGGTTCATTACTGTGTTAACAAGAGCTCTCCGCTGGTCCCTATCCTGAGCCAGATGGATCCAGTCCATACCACCTCATCCTATCTCTCTAAGATCCATTTTAAATTTTTCCAAGCACCTACATCTTGGTCTTCCTAGTGATCTCTTTCCTTCTGGATTTCCCACTAATATCCTATATGCATTCCTCTTATCCCCATTCGTGCTACATGCCCTGCGCATTTTATCCTCCTTAACATGATCGTTCTAATTATATTTTGTGAAGAATTCAAGTTACGAAGC